TCTACTTAATTTGTTTACGTATTTATTGATTTGGACCATTTTACTCATTTATTTTTTATTTTATTTTATTTATTATTATTTTTTTCCTTCATTTTTAGTTTTCCATTTTTAAGTAACATAGTAAAAATTTGTTTTTCTGTCTGCATTTTGAAATAAATTCTGATCATTAATTTAGTAATTTGTGTTGCTCTGGGAAGGTAATTATAGCTAGTTTCTCCTGCAGACAGAGTTTACACTTTGGGAATTTTTTATTGTAAGCTAGTGCTGTTTTCCTTATTTTCAATGATATTTTTGCTATAATTTGGTTTTTGTTTTTAATTTCCAATATATGTTTAGAAAGCATTGTGCTATTCACATATTTACTGTTTGTGAAGGATGTTTTGTGTGCATAGTTTCTTTGTTTCTGGAGGTTTATCTGAAATTTCATATTTCCACTAGGAGCAAAGATGTTGGAATTTAATTTGAGAACAATATTTTACAAGTTCACATTCTCGCTATTTTTTCTATCCTCACTTCAACCTCTTTTTCAAAACCGGCTCCCAAAGCCTTGATTCCTATCAGAGATAAGAATATATTTTCTGACTAACGAGAGAGCTGGAAAATATAAAAAGGAATTCCACCACCATTATTCTTTCCATGGTGCCATAAAGTCTGGGAGAAACCTCACAGCTTGTTCACTCCAACCTGTTTTCATTACTTTCAAAACTGGCTCCCAGAGCCCTGATTCTTATCAGAAATAAGAATATATTTTCTGACCAATGAAGGGGCTACGAAATTTGTTCAACAATTTTGGAGGGAAAAGTCCCCGATTCTTTGGAGCCTACCAAATCTCCATAAATTTGGAGAATCTTTGCCTATTTGGCAGTGAGACTTCAGCTCGCTATTTGTAAGGTTGACGATAGGGAGCTCCAGTCAACTTCAGAACCACTTTCAACCAACTATCTACTAAAGGGCAGTTGAGAACGAATGTTGACCCACAATTCAAGACCAATTCAAAGCTGCATCCCTTCACCACTTCTTCTGACATGCCCACTGGACTTGTCGTCAACCTACAAACTCACTCAACTGCAAGATTCCTATATCTACCAACAATTTTCCTACTCTACAAGAACTGTGAGTGTTTCTAAACCTTAACAAAATTCTACTTGCTTAAAGAACTTTCTAGGCACTCAGAGAAATATTTTGAGCAAGCCTTTTTTCTGTTATGAACATTTTCTCTTCCCTTAAAGGACATTTTCTCTTTTCCCTTTCTTTCACTCCTAATTGTCTTTATCCCTTTACCCTTTTTTTCTGTATATGCAAATAAACACTTTCTTCTTTTATTGTTACACACCAAGCAGGAGTTTTTTCTTTATTCATATGTGCCTAAAAGAGAGTTTGTTGTTTTTTACTTGCATTTGCTGCAATTTTTTAACCTCAACCTTTGGATTCAGGAAAGCCGGGATAAACTTTCCCCACAAAGATTTTTAGTTTAGGTTTGTGGTAATTCACTGATGTAGTTGTCTTAAAAAATTCAATGGAAAAGAAAAGGTTGATTTACTTCATAGGTCGAGGTTTTGGAAGACACATGCCAACACCATATGTTGGAAAGTGGAAAGAGAGAGTTCAGTTATCAGTGGGCCAAGGAAACAAAACATTCACCAGCATGAACTTAATTTCCATGTGATACTACATCGTCGAGTAAGAGAGAAGAAAGAAAATGTTTGTGCTTTTATAGACTTCAACAGCACTACATAATGGTGTTTGACAAAGCCAAGTGAGAGTAATAAAATTTCCAGTTCCTTTATTGGAAAATATATATATATATATTTTTATTATTTATGATTGTTATTTTATTTATTGGTTTTATTTTGTTTTCCCATATATACTTTTTATGATTCTAAAAGTACTTAGAAAAAAATTGACTTTTAAAAATATTTGGTCTAGCAACAGATTTAGGGTTAACGCTTTATACAACTCATCTCATGTTAACTATACTGACTTTTGTGATCCTACCTAGGATTGAACTCACCACTCACTAATTTTATTGAGCAAGATCCTGTTTTAACACCTCACTTATAATATCTAAAAATATTGGATTAAATTTATTGAATTTAATTATTTCATATTAACTTTACATAACATTCTTAATAAAGGACGTTTCATTATTTTTGTAGTACAAAATATCACATTTGCTCCTATTTTATGTTTCTTAATGGTAAACTAAGCTAAAATTCAACATCTTTTTTATAACAGCATCAACTATGAACACAGCCACAGTGTATTGGCCATACTCAGGAATTAAGAATATGTCAACCTTTCAGCAATTTATACACCTTTCACTATAGCACTGACACATCATGTACAACTGAGAAACCAAAATCATTGAAAATGATCATTAGATGAGCCAAAAGCACTTGGAAGATTAATCATTTGAACAATTTATTAATCTGTCTATATTTCTGAGATGAGATATTGATGATATTACTATAGTTTGGCTCATCTGTTAAGTGTTTTTTTTTTGTTTTTATGATAGGGACTTTTGTTATTTTTAGACAATTTTTGTGGTTGGAGATGCATATCACATTTGTATTCTTGACAAGTATGTTGTGTATCAAGATTGGTACATTTCCATACTGGTATAACAGTTGCTGAATTAGAAACACGTGCTGTTTATTCCTGCTAGAAGGTCCATGGTGGATTTAAAAATTTGAATCCACCATAAAGGAATGTAAAGAAAACAAACAAGACCGAAATATATATGTAAGCATATATATGTATTAAACAACAAATTTACAAGTGACAAAGACATCAACATTTGTGTTTGTGAGTGAACGTAAAGAGTTTGTATTTTGGTGAATGTTCATATGTACGTGTGGGTGTTGTATAATGTTCATGGTGTCTCCCACAAATGGGAAGCTTATCTTTCACGAGAGCTTACATTGTAGATGTGTTCGCTGAAATGCAAAGTGAAAAAGAGAACGAGGTGATAAGTCACCCAGTATAGGGAAAAGCATGCCCTAGTGACAATTAGGAAATTAAGGAGGAGGTAACTACGACACTGGTTTAAGTGGGCCCATGTGAAGCTTTGATATGAGAGATGTAGAGTCAGCCGTCTTGATAAGTGAGTGGTGGTGCATCTATATTTATGAATATATTTTTTGTTGGGGAAATATGTATATTGTTTTATCCATTTATTTTACTATAGAAAGAAAATTTGAGTAACACTTTAATCAAAGAATTTTTCAATTGGGAAATGCTGTTTTGACTGTTGTGAAAATGATTTTAATCACAGGAAAAAATTTCAGAACTCATGATAAATTTGTTGGTGTTAGCTCCTCCTTAATTCCCAAATTGTCACTAGGGGTCATTCTCCCTATACTATAAATACTGGGCGATTCTCACATCACTCTTTTTTATTTCTTCATTTCAGCAACTACAATGTAAGCTCTCTTAAAAGATCCATGTCTTCCCATTTGTGGGAGATGCCATGAACATTATACACACATACATGTACGTACAAACATTCACCAAAGAACAGACACAAATGTTCACATACACACAAATATTATTGTCTATGTCCATTATAAAATTGTTTTGTTTAATATATATTTATTTATATATATATATATATATATATATATATATATATATATATATATATATATATATATATATATATATCAGTCTTGTTTGTTTGTCTTCTTTAAATTTTCAGTTGCACTTAACTTGAGTCTGGCAATTTTCTTGTAGTTGGTCCTTTGAATATTCTACCAGGAGTTACACATGTGTTTCTAATACAACAACACGCAAACACACCTAGTTCTCTACAAATTATTGAATATGTTTAAAAATTAAAAAATAAACATCCGATTTTTACATAATGTACAGCATATATTATTTTATTCCCATAGTTTTTTTTTGGGGGGGGGGTGCATGAAACTATCTCTTCATAGCTATTTTTCCCAGGTTAACCTGAACTGGAGTAGTAGCACCTTTTTGTGTCCCATCTAAGGGCAAATGGTCCCCCCCCCCACAAAACACTAAGAAAGTATAAAATACATTTTTATAGTAAAAATACCAGCAAAAACATTTTTGTATAAAAAAAATTACCAACAATAAATCGTATCTGTAGTTGAAGGCATATAGTTGCATTCAAAATACATTTAGTTGAAGCCATATCCAAAATATTTAGATTTTGGCATTAAATAACCCATAGAGGTGTTGATATGCCACTAAACAAAATCAACCAAATATGTTTTTCATCAACTACTCAATTACTTATTTTATTATTTATTGTTATTGCTATCAATTAAATGTGACATTTTTCCTAAGTGGAAGGAAAGTTGTGACTTTTTCTACAACTTTTTTTATAATGATGAAATGAAAAGTTTCAAAAACAAAGGGTGTAAATAATTTTTTTTTATTGAAATTGATATAAAACTATTAAATTTCTCTCCTTCACATGCGCATATAAATTAATAAAGCAATTTTTTCTTGTATCAGTAGCCTCTTTTCTTAGTCTTTAAGAAGGAAAACAAATTTCAAAAAATTGGTTTTTGAAAAAAAAAAGGGATTTTTTAAATATTTTTTCTAATTTAAATTTTAAAGAATGTTTCTGAAACATTTGAAATAATCTCTTGGTTTATGATTAATAAAAAAACAACAATGTTGGAAAAAGAAAAAAACCGGACACATTTTATTCAAAATTTGTAATTATTTCAAAGAGAGCAGGTGATATTTTCAGCGAAAGAAAATCAGACAAAAGAAGTTAAAAAAAAAAAAAAGCTGTTGTTTGCAGTATTAAAAAAGATAAAAAAAACAAAAACGAAATCTCTTTTTAGCGCCATGAAATTTATTCCAAAGATTTTCCCGCAACATTACAGCAAACACTTGATCAGATCGATAGAAAATTGTCTGATTTGATGTTAAACAAAAAAGGGGAAAAAATCTCAATGGTCGGTGTGTTCCCGTCCAGATGTGACTCCACGCGGACATAATATTTGCCAGCAGACGACAATATGGCGACAGCAAACGGACCTTCTAACAAGAAGAAAGGCTAGTTGCTTTTTAAAAATTTTCTTTGCTGTTAGATTATTAATTTTGTGTGGAACTTTTAAATACTTGGATTTTTTTCATGGGATGCCATTCGGACGATTTTATTGGGATATTTTTGGGTAGTTTTACAATTCTGTGAGAAGAAATGGGCATGCCATGTCTGTTTTTGTATATTGTTTTTATTGTCGATACTGAAATGTAGTTAAAATCATCCGGGCAGCAGTAATGTCGAAATAAAATCGAAAATAATTGATCCAGACATGGAGTTTTTTGGGACAAAAATTTACTTATTAGGTCATTTTCTTTTTAACTTTATTGCTTTGTTTTATTTAGCCCGACTATTTATTTTTCAATTTTGATCAATAGGTGTGAAATTAAAAAAAAAAAAAAAGAAATATTGTTTCAAAAATGGGGGATTAGTTTGTGATAGAAATATTGTATAAGATCGATCCCCCAATTATTAGCCACTTTGTATGATAGTCATGTTGATTTCAGGTTAAATTTTTCTTCTCTTTAGCATTTTTTAATGTTATTTTACTGAATTTTTTCGTCTCGTATTTTTTAGCGGTTGATAATTTTGCAAATAGTAACAAAAAATTGAGTTTTTAGGAAGCTGATCTTGCCTCGTTAAAAATAAATTTTAACCTGGTATCTGGTCATAAAGTGAGGGATTAGTTGTATATAGAAATATGTTTTCAAATTAGTCCCTGATTTTGTGACCACTATTTTTTTTTCTGGTCATTCAATGTTTTGTGTACATAACACGTTGTTTATTTAATAAGTAATTTATTTATTTACCTATGAAAACATCTTTATAGCCTATTTTTTATAATACATTTTTAAAATAAAATTGAATGTTTTAAAAAATCCGTAGTTAAAAAAAAAATTGGAACCTAAAATAAAAATATTTAAAAAAAATTAACTTACTTTATTTTTAAATTTACACATTTTTCATTTTATTTAATATATTTTTAATTAATGTTTTAATTTTAAACATTTTTTTTAATTTGTAATCAAACCTTAAATATATTTCATATTAATTTTTTTTTTCATATTTCAAATTTTAAATTTTTGACAGCATTGTTAAAACTTAAAATTAAAAATAATTATATTTTTAAATAAAAGAAAATGTTTTTTATAAAGCGATTTTTGTCACTTATTTATAAATTATTTTAAATTAAAATAATTAAAATGCTAAGATTTGAAATAAATGATCCATGGATGTCTATATGGGTCGCGTAAATGTCAAACTCAAGATTTTCTTTTGTTTGAAGTTTGATATTGGTAAAGAATCTTTACTAAAGATGTGAACAAAATTGTTCTTTTGTTAAAAAATTTTTCCTCATAACTTTAAATGCTTTAGTTATTTTAAAAACTTAAAATTATTCATTTTGATTTATTTTTTTTTTTGTAATCGTTAGAATTTGACCCAAAAAGAAAATTTTTGTGTTTTTTTTTTTTTTTTTTTTTTTTTAACTCTGACCTAAAATAAAATTTAAGCTTTTTTTATTTTTTTTAAACATTTAAAATTCCTATCGATTTATTTTTCATTTAATCTTCAAATAAAAACTCTTTTTGAAATAAAAATTTTGCTAAATATCTGTTTTTAATTTCTTAGTGTTTATTTATTTTATTTTTAAATAAATTTAAAATGTTGAGCAGTTATGAATTTTGGGGGAAAATGCTCAAGTTGTAATTAATTCCAGAATGTTTTTTAAAAGACAATTTTTTTTATTATTTGATGAATTTAAATAAAAAGAGATGGAAAATAGACGAAATCTGTGTAAAATGTTCCTAGACTCAAACAAAATGGGTCAGTCGTACTTTCGGTACCACCAAAATACAGCAGTTAGGAAATCTTTCACTTCTTTGTGTTACAAATTGTCAAAAATAATTAAAATGAAAAATAAAAATAAATTAAACACTAGACACCATTGATTACCCTCTGGGGCTGTCCACTTTTTAACTAACATCATTCATATTTTTCTCATGGATTGTTTTTTTGGGGGAGGACGGAAAAAGAGATTGCAAAGGGCAATACTAGTAAAAAACTGACTAGGCTGTGCGTGTTTTCTTAGTTTTAAAGTGCGTATTATTCAACAATTATTGATTTTTTTTACTACTATTTCTCAATGAATGCTATTCCAAAGTACAGTGCCGGTGAGGCTAGTTTACACTCTGAGAAAATATTCACTTTTTTTATACTTGTTCGAAATCTAAATTTTTTTTATATTTAAATTTCTTAATATTTTTTAATTGAAAACCATAAAGTATTCGTTAATGCTTGTAAAATCTGTATATCCTCTAGAAAAAAAAAGCATGAGAGAAAGTAAAGTAAAGTGTTAAAAAATTTCCTTGTCTCATCGAACTGTTATTATGCAAAATTCTTTAACCGTTTGTAGTTTATTCTTTTTGTTTTAAAGACCACCTTTAATAAGGAAGTCTGGTTTACTTAGTTATAATTTGTCATAAGTCGTGCTGGGGAAAACCCTGGAAGATAAGTTGTTTTTTTGTTTTTTTTCTCTCCGGATGTTTTTTGAAGTTGTAATTAATTGTAATGAAAACTTCGCAAAATGTTTAACACGGTTTTATTTTAAACAAAGCCTTTTCTGGGCTGCGATGAGAGTTGGGGAGAAAGAACCAAAAATTCCAGACACTGGAAAGGTCCGTGGATGGGGGGGGGTCGCTTTAGTAAAAGCGGTTTGTCCACGTTCTGTTTCTTTGGAGAATTCTTGTTGTTTACAGTCCGACATGTACGCCACATTCGGTGCGTGACCTTGTTTGTTTGTTTGTTTGTTTGTTGCTTTTTTTTTTTGTTTTCTTTTAAATTTCATGACTATCTTTAGAAAGCCTGTTTCAGAAATTAATATCAAAACATTAGAAATATTAAAGTTATAGTTTATTTTTACTTTTTTTCTTTCGTCAGAAAAATATGTATATTTGGAAATTGGTTCTTTTTGAACGGAAAAAAAAAACTTTGTCTAACTAAAAGACCCCATAAATAAATTAAGAGACCGGCCGTTTTTATTTTATTTTTATTTATTTTTTTTTATTACAATACTGTGGATTTGGAAGAAATCACTTAATCGACTCCAAATGACGAAGAAGAAGAAAATGCAGAAAGAAAGATTATTGTTATTCCTTTCTTAGGCAAACAATTTTTTTTTAGCGAATCGTTTCCGGAATTTCTAAAATAAAGATTTTTTTTTCCCTTTTATTTGTTCGTACTCATTCCTTAAAAATAGACGATTTTTCTCAAAAGGTGTGTATTTTTCCCGTCACAAAAGGGCAGGTGTGAGATCTCTCCCTAATTCTTTTCATGTCACGCTTTCAACATGGCGATGGCCCCTTGAAACTAGTACCTTTTTTTTTTTTTTTTTTTTTTTTTAACTATGGTTTTGTTTCCTATAAAATTTCAAACGTTCTTTTTTTAAGTTTATTCGTGCCTCTTAAAAAAAATAGTACGTTGAAAGACGAGTTGCTCTTTTTTTTTTTTTCTTCATGCCTCGCATATCTTTTTTTTTTTTTTTTAATTAGTTCACCTCCTTATTGTCCCTCCCGTGTAAAAATGTTTCACCTTGCGTAATAGACGCTTTCATTATTTTTGTAATGTCCAAAATAAAAGACAATAAATAGATGTTATCTGTATCACCAGCCACTTAAAAAAAATTGAAACTAAGTATTTATTTTGTTGTTCATTTTTTAAAGATTTCTTATTGTTGAAGGAAGTCTTTGATAAGGGTTTTTTTTTATGAAGCAAGTTTAGTCTTCCTTTTTTGGTTTTTTAGTGCTTTAAGCGTAGCTTAGATGTGCCATTCATTCATAGGACCCCCGGTGAGGATCGAACTCACCATTCAATTGATCTATCGGGATAAGCTTGCTGACCATTACACCACGTCGAATCATTGCATATTCTTAGAATTCACCAAAATTTAAAGCTAGAAGAAAACATTTGAAGAAGAAGAAGCTAATCACGGTTGAGGAGAGTAAGCAAATTTTTAGTAGTCATTTGATTTCCCATGTATGATAGAGGTTTCTTAATCCGAAAACAGAAGGAACATGCCAAATGGGTAAAAAGAAAAAAAAATGTCTTTTTTTAAAGGGTAGATTTCATGCTTGTTTTTGCTTTAGCTGTGCACAAAAATTATAACTATTTTAGATCATAAAAACAAAGAAAAGAGGGAAAATAAAAGAAATGTTAGATTCCTAAATTTAATATTTTTTACTATTCCTTGATGAAACATTCTTTGTACAATGGAGTTGTGCATTTTTTACCTTTTTATTTTTTTTAAAAGTTTTTTTTTTTTTTTTTTTTTTTTAATCATTTCACCCCAAACAAGACAAAGCTACTAAGACACAATGGGTTACTGTGTGTAAAAGAAAAACTAAACATTATTAAGGAGCAAGAACAATAAAAGGAGAGGAATCAAGAAGACAGTAGATAACAATTGATATTGCATTCAAATTTTTGAAGATCAAAGCTGGCTGGAAAGCAAGAAACCAGAAGAGAGTTCCACAAGCGAGAAGTGTGAGAAAAGAAACTGTTAGCATAGAACTAGTAGTTACATTTAGCTATTTCAACTGTAAAATGATGAGATGTTGCTGCCAATCTAGTACTGTGCTTATATTCATAAAGTCTAGCTATCATAGAAAAATTTCATCCGAACAATTACCACAAAAATATTTATAGAAAAGGCACAGTGAACTTACATTATGGCATTGGGAAAGTGACTGATACCAGGTCAGGACTGACAAAATTGCAGATTCTTCTTTAGATTTTATCAAGAATCTTTAAATATATAGCAAAAGCACTAGACCAGATATGCCGCAATATTCAAAGCATGAATGAATAGTAGACATAAATATTTTGGCATGTTCTTCCAGATTTATTTGCAGGCAAATACTCTAGGAAGTGACATAACCTCATGAATATATTCTTACACTGTATGATTCCTTTACTCCTTTTCAAGTTTTACTGCTCAGTATGAACAATTTATATTACTACTGCATACCAAACAGCTATGGTTAATTATTAATTTCTAAGTATAGAAATTATAGCATAGTATTTTAGAGGTTTGTTTGTATCTGAAAGTTCATTACTGAAACATTTGTAAGTCGGTGTGTACCTGTACTAATATTTTATAGTAGTATTTAATACTTGTTTCTGGCATCAGGTTTTCATCATTTATCTGGATTTTATGGTAAGTACATTTCTAGAAAGATCATACCATTAACAAAGTGCCCATAAACTATATTTTTAAATTGAAGTTTAATAGTTTATTTTTTTAAGGATGCTTTCACAAAATCTTATATTAGAGACCTCCTTATGACTATAAACCTTATATTTAAGGGATACACATGATTGAGTACACATAATGTTTATAGTAATAAGAAATAATATCAGATTAAAAATAGACAATAATTCCTTAAAGACTCACTATTGTTAATATTAATAATTTTCATCATTATTCCGTCATGTATTTTTCTGTAGTGTGCTTGCATTTCATTTTATGACTTATGCAGCCAGTCACAGCAGACTCTGTCATTCCTATATATTTTCAAAGTTCTACTCTTGACAAGTAGATCGGTTTGTCTATCGTCCAATTCACACACCTCTTTGGTCTTTTGAACAAAATGAGAGGTTTATCACTTGTTTCCTGTTTGGGATTAGGTTTCTGCCAGTTCCTTTCTAAAGTTGTTTTTCCTTTTCTTTCACTTCTGGTGGCCTCTTGTGTCTTCATGGCATTATCACCTTGCTTGGGGTGGTGCCTTTTTACTATGTAACCCTCAATCTCAAATGGCTCTTGAGCCTTGTACAAGGTGAGCATCATTAAAAAAAGAAAAAAAAAGAAGTAGCGATATTGGTGCCAGTGTCTGTTCTAGGGTTACCGACCTTAACATCACTTTACCCTGAGTATTTGGCCAAACAAATACAATTGGTAAAATCATCTGTTTCCCTATTTTTTTTCAGTTGATAATCTATATACAATACAATGTGACAGAAAAGATTAATTAATTAATTGTAGTTTTATCAATTTCAAAGAAAATTAAAGACTGCAGTCATCTCTGATGGATGCAAAGGGAGATAATAAAAAGTAAATTGTTTCTTATAAAACAAAATCCTATTTGGCACAAAATAGAAAACAAGAATTGATAAAAAGTAGAAATATTGGATTGGAAATAAAGTTCCCATACAACTTTGTATATTGTTAATAAAAATTGTGTGGGAACATTATTTCCAACCTGATATTTTATTAGTTTTGTTCAGCATGAACTTATTGATTGCTGTTAAAAAATCTTTTTTTAAGGTTATCCCTTTATTATTGAAAACCAAAAAATTGATAGATGTATTGAGTTTATTAATGAAATCATTAAAAGTAACATTGAACTATTTTAAGGATATAATTCAGAACTTTTGAAAATCTTTTTGTGCAGTCTTTTTTTAATGTTAATTTTAAGATGCTAATTTAGGATGTGCAAGTCAGGTAAGAATAACTTAGAGAAATTGGTGAATTAGAAATTTGCTTGAGTTTCTTACATTCACTCTTGCACAAATGTCCTTGGAAAAAGTTATGGATCCATCTCTTGTACCCTTAACTATGGGTTAAATAGGCTGACTGGGTTCTGTTGACTTGAGGTGGCAACTAGTCTAGAAGAATCAAAATTCAAGACCAGCCTGTAGAGGGCTGTGTTCCTATGTTATATTGCCCTATATAGACACACCATGGTTATTATGGATGTTGTACATGTGGTACCCCCATGCTCCCAATGAGTTAGGGATCTGATGACATTAATTTTAGAAAGGTCAAATGAATTAAAAAGTCACACTAGTTTCTTGATTTCTTAATGTATATTGTTAATATTAACTATTAAAGACACAAACGATGTCACCACTTTTTTTTTTTTTTTTTTAATGAGTGGTTAAGTTAAAAAGAATATACTGTTAAATCTGTTTTTGCTCTGATGATCTCATAAGGAAGAAAGCAAGTGACCACAGCTTTTTGGCTACTAAATTCCTTTAAGTAATTTTTTTTTTTTTTTTTTTTTTTTTTTTTTTAGTTTGATTCAAATTTTTAAAAAATTGATTTTGTATTTAGTAGCTATTTGATAGTTTACTTGTTTCAGAATAGAATAAACAAACTGGTAATATAAATAGATGGCTCTTTTTACAGACCCTAATAATCAGTCTGTTGCATCGATTTGATGTTTCAGAATAAACAAACTGGTATTAGATGGTTCCTTTACAGACTCTAATAAGTTTTATACATTTAGCTGAGAACTTCATTTACTTTGTGTTTGTTATGTTGTATTTTTTTTTCTCTTTTTAGATTATCGTTTAAGGCGACAGAAAAGGCAACAAATCCGTCAGCTGATTGATGCCATTGATAAAAATGACCTGAACAGCGTTTTTCACATTTCTAATTCCGTCCTAGACATTAATTTTCCTTATCGACGAAAAACTCCCCTTGAGGTGGCAGTAGAACTTGGCCATCTTCAGATTTGTTGCCTGCTTCTTCAAAAGGGAGCTGATGTTAACCGATGCAACCAGGGGTTGAACAACTTGCTTAACATTGCCTGCCAAAAAGGGTACATCAAAGTGGCAGAGGTGCTTATCATGAACTCAGCAGATATAGACAGTCGCAATGAACATGGAGCCACCCCCCTGCATTCAGCTGTCATGAATGGCTTTGTGAAGATTGCTACGATGCTGTTAAATAATGGATGTGACGTCAATATGCCAAACGACCAGATTGAAACACCATTGCTGACTGCTGTCCGTACCAATGACCTTACAATGGTCAACCTTTTGCTCAACCACAACTGTATTGTGGATGGTCCTAATTTTCAAATGATCACCCCACTCATGGTCGCAGCTGGCTGTGGCTATCTTGACATTGTATGTCGGCTTTTAAAAGCAGGTGAGTTGAATTTGCTTGGTTACATTTATCTGTAGTAAAAACTGTTAAATAAATTTGAGTAAAGACCTTTTAGGTGGTTGACAAGCACAAATAAGTGCTGGTTACAGAAGTTAACTTGCTTTCAGCTTCCTAAAGAAATGTTAGTAAGGTCATACAAAGCAAAGCCAGAAGTCAATTCCCTTTCTAAAAATATATTCATTTATATGCTACTACAAAAAGTTGGCTTTATAATTGAAGAAATTTGAATAAGAAAATGTCTTATTTTTTATTATAAGGTATATTATGTATTATTTTAAATATTTATATTTTAAAAATTCAGATATAAAAAAAAATAACATACAGATAATCCTCTCATCTACGGAACCACCACCAATGGACTTTGGATGCAATGGACAAAATCTGAAGGCAAAATAAATAGAAAATCTGCTGGGAAAAAACAAAAACTTCCAAATCATCAGTGATGTATTTCAAAATTTGTGGACTTAGCGGAATTAGTTGTATTAGTTCTTAAAGTGACAGCTTAGCAGTGGTGGCGGGCCTTTCAATTGTAAACAAAGATAGAAAATATGATACATTAGTGTGTACGTGAGAAAGTAGCTGTGAGAAATCTATTATTTTTGTTATTTTGATTAATATATCTATATTAAGTATATATTAATTTATGCCATATATACATGTTTATAGTATTTACATTATGATCATAACTACTTGTAGCTACTATGGTGGTTTTATAATTAAAAAAATAATCCCTTCCCATCTACGAACAATCAGCTTTAATAGACCACCCCTCCCCCTATTAGTCCATTGATGAGAGATTTGTCTTTATAAAGATAGTCTGAATAAAGACAAAAGGGAAACTTTTCTTTACCAATGCATTTAGTTCCCTGTGGACTTTATCAAGGTGAACAAAGGATTTAAATAAAATGTTTACACTTACTCTGATAAAGTCCTTCAGGAGATGAAACACCTTGGTAAAGAAAAATGCACGAAGGTTGACTCTTGAGTCCAGACAGGGTTTTAATTACTCTACACACATGGGGATTGAGTGCATTAGGTATATGATCTTCATGCCTATGCAAATGACTCACTAGACCAGCCTTGGAGGGATAGATCCTCCCATGTCACAGGTGTGACATTCCTTACTTTGAATGTTACTCAGACTCACTCCTTCTGGCAGCATGTTTTATTTGCTGAAGCTTGATTTGATATTATTCAAACTCTCTGGCAGATAATATATATATATTAAAACAGCATAATTGCATATTAAGATTTTTGTTTGTTTTTTCCGTATATTTTTCTTCATACTGTCGGATCTATATCCAAATATTTGCTTACATATATATAGGTACCTCTAAAAATGTAAACAAAAAGAGCATAGCATGATGAAAAAGACGCCAAACTTGACGAAAACAAAATTTTATCGTCTAATGTTCATATTATTATTAAAGAGGAAAGATCAAAGTATTTTTGGGGTATTTTTTTACATTTTTTAATCGTTCCTAGGATGTCTGAAATTTTCGTTAAAAATATTGTTTTTCTTTGTCAAAAAAATGGACAGATTATCCATCATTTTCAATCATTTTTTTCCATTTTATAAAAAAGATGAAAATCTGACTTTGATATTCTTTTAAAAATCAATTATCATTTTTTCAAAACTTATTTTAATAGAATCAGAAATTATAATGTTTATTTAAAATATTTTGAACCAAGCTTAACTTAGCTTCTGCGCCGAAGAAATGTAATTTGAAAATAAAACAAAGCAGGTCATAACTTTCGTGTCATTTGACAGTTGACGAAAGACAGATTCATGACGTTTAGATAACTTATGGGAGGATAATTCTTTCTACGGATGGAAGGAAGTGAAATTATTTAGATTTAAGTGAACAAATTATTTACCTCGTTACTTTTAAGGAAAACTTTCAGCGCTCTAATTTTTTAATTTTTTTTTTTTTTTTTGTACTTAGCTTTCATCTTTACGTTTACGATGCTTTATGGAAAATATAAAGAAATTAAAAAAATAAGACTGTTGTTAGTGAGATTAAATTTCATAAGAAAGGTATCTAATTAATTTATATAGGTACCTTTCTTATGAAATTTTATCAGAAGTGTACATAAAATACTATAATTTTATGCACATTTATTACATTTTACTGTGTTATTTGTATTTCCATTCATTTTATTATTAATTTTGATATTTCATTTATGGAAAAATGTCATAACTGAGATTAATATAAAAATAAGATCATATAAATTAAAGTTTAGCAGTAGTTTCATTTCATAAGATGATACTGATACTTATAGGTACCCTTCTCAGTTGAAATCGAAAAATCAAATTAACTTCTCCATACGTGTTTCGCAAAAGTAAAGGCCTTAACAGCGGAGAACAATGCTGAATTCAAATAATGCAACTAAATTGTATTCTGATTGGTCTTCTGTACTTTATAATTACCGCCCAATTATAAACACAAAAATTACATTTCTTAATTACTTCTGATCTTCTGATTGGTCCAAATTATACAATTTTCAAAGCGTTAGACAATGACAATCTCATAAGGACACTTTAAAAGGTTAACGTTGCTTTTAACTAATGTTATAATATTTTTAAAAAACTTAATGTAAAAATCTATTATAATTAAAGAAATAACAAATAATTGTATGAAAAATTCAATTTTCATTGAAAAAATTTTTTGCTTTCAGAAAATATTGTCCATATTCATATAAACAACTAAAAACAAATAAAAGCATTTGAAATTAAATAATATCTTTGTTTTATTGAGTTTTGTATGTTACAATTCAGAGCTGATTTTCAGATATGTGGGATCCAATTAAAAAAAAACAAAAAAACATGATTTGCATTTTTCAAAGCCTTGTGCTTTTAACTATTGTAATCACTAAGGTTGATGCACTCGAATTTCTAGAGTTTTTCATAAAATTAATTATGGGGTGGGGTAATAAATATAAAAAAAAATATTTCTGCCATGACTTTGATAAAAAAAAAAACATTTATAATAATTTCGATCATCTGTGAATAGTTTCTGAAAGTTTCATTAACATCTGACAATTATTTTTATTTTTGCAAGATTTTCCAAATTAATGTGTGTAATACAAAAAAAAATGTGCTAAAAATTATCTATGCAATTTACTAGCCCCTGTTGGTACAAAGAGAAACAAGGTTTTTTTAATCAAAATTTAGAATGTTCTCAAAAGAAGGAAAAATTTTTAAAAATAATTAAAAAAAACTTTGGTCTTTCCTCTTCATAAAAACATAAGCATTTAGACGATAAAATTTTGTTTTCATAAAGTTTGGTGTCTTTTTCATCAGACTATGCTCTATTTTTTAGCGATTTTGTGGAGTTATATATATATATATATATATATATAAAATTAATATGAACATACAGTTTGTCAGCTGATTGATTGGTGTTACCTTCAGCATCCCAACTCTAGAGTTTTGTAGACAGATCCTCCGGCAATCACTCCATTTACTCATCAGTGAATATATTCTATTATATATGCATATCTAAAATATCCTTGTGGTGTGCCAAGGAGCGTCATCAATAATGTTTATTCTTGATGGCAGTTGGGGTTTTGGGCATCTAAAAACATCAGATCCCTCTTCCTGGGCAGCTTCCCAGCCTCTCTCTGTTGAATCTGCAAAATTTGGCCTGAGCTTATATTGACTTGATATTTTTTGAAATTAATGAAAATTAGTTTTACATTTACTGTAGTTAGTGTTTGTGTAATGGATGTTGAATTTTTCCTGCCGATTTTTTTTCACTTGGCTTGGACTATATATTACACACACTGAAATTCTGAAATGAAACCAAAAATCACTACATGTTGTTTAAAAAATTCGCCATTAATTACATTAACATTGCTAATTAATTCTTTGTAATATATATACTGCACAATCTACTATATTTATGAAAATTGATCCACAGTATGAAATTCTGGAAAAAAAACTACTAAGACATATTACTCTATTAATTGGACCATATACTTTAGCCCATATCACTTTAACTGAAAAACACATACAACAAAAAAATTATGGATTTACCACATTACTAAATTCAAACAAAAAGTTCTGACTTGAAATATTTAAACTAGAACTCTAGTGTTGTGAAACTGCATGTTCCAAAATTATATAACCATCAATAAATGACACATTCTTAAAAAAAACATCCTTCGGTCTACAATAAATTTATTTTGTCTTGGAGTTTACCTGGAAATGGAAAAATTATGGCTTGAGGATGAAAATGTGAAATTTTCAAAAGTACTTGCCACCCTGCAATACCAAATCCATCTCGCAGTTTTAAACATAAGGATTGCATCATTCAATGAATTGTTAGTAAGTTAATACCTTATTAAGTCTGTTGGCAAAGAGATTTCACCATTAATTACATTAACATTGCTAATTAATTCTTTGTATGATTACCTCTTTACAATATATATACATATATATAAGCTATATTAAATTAATTTTTATTATAAGCTAATAAGATAAAGTATAGACAGCTGTGCAGGTTTTCAGCAATCATAAACAAGTCAAATACAGGTCACAGAAGTTATTTCAAGGCTCCTGAGCAAATGTTAGTAAGTCCATACACAAAGTAAAAGCAAAGATCAACTCCCTTTCTCAAAATATGCCCATTGTCTATTTATATGCTACTTCAAAAAGGTGGCTTTATAGATAAAGAAATTTGAATAAGTGGTAGCCTGTATGAAATTTCCATTTCTGGAAGGGATTGTACTTTAACAGGACTTAATAAAAACAACTCTCCATATGGGATCAAGTGGATGAAGAAAGAAATTAATTTAAAGTTTATTTATATTTAAAGTGTCACTGTATTACCAAAAATATCTTTCATTGTTATAGATTTTAATGGCCTTATAAACATAGAAGATAATGCTCTGAAGAGTTATGTTGGAATTCTTGAGATTAGGAATTATTATTATTATTATTATTATTATTATTATTATTATTATTATTGTCTTTATTT